CATATGAGCTCCAAGCATTAACGACCGTGTAACCTCCAAGATTTGACGGTTCTTACGCTCCGCAACTCCATTTTGTTGCAGTGTATGGGGACAAGTTGTCTCATGAATAATTCCAGCACTTAAACAATAATCCTGAAACATATTACTTAAAAATGCTCCACCATTATCAGATCTAAGAACTTTAATTGATGCATCAAACTGGTTTTTAATCATGGTATGAAACACTTTAAAAGTACTGAAAACTTCAGATTTATGTTTAAGGACAAACAACCATGTCATACGTGTGCAATCATCAATGAAAGTGACAAACCATCGACAACCAGAAAGGCTAGAAACAGGGGCAGGACCCCAAACATCAGAATGGATTATTGAAAAAGGAATATTGGTCTTAGTCAAGCTTGGAGAAAAATGGGCTCCTTGATGCTTTGCAAATATGCATGTCTCACACTTAAGATCATCTATATTTGAATGATGGAATAATGTAGGGAACAAATGTTTCATGTACGCAAGAGATGGATGGCCTAACCTTCGATGCCATAGCCATATTTGTCGATCTGCAGATCCATGTGCGAGATGACCATGCCCATGTTTAAGATCATCAACGTAGTATAGCCCATCGACCTCACTACCACGTCCAATTATTTCCTTTGAGTCAATGTCCTGAAGAAGACAAAAGTTAGGATAGATGAGAGCAAAACAATTCAGGTCTTTTGTAATTTGGCTAATGGAGATTAATTTGTGACTTAAGGATGGCACAAGGAGAGTATTAGAGAGTTCTATAGATGGTGAAATCTTGACAGTTCCTGCGCCAGTAACCTGCGATAAGCCACCATTAGCATTAGCAATAAAATTTCTTCGGGCCTTTGTAAATTTAGAAATATCATTTGATTCAAATGTCATATGATCTGTAGCTCCAGAGTCAAGAATCCATGAATTAGAGTGGGGAAATTACTAGTAGAACACATATTTTTTTTGATAAGACAATTTCCGTTGACCGAATTGCTGGGCATGAATTCTCCAAGAGGCAACTTCTCACAAGGAACAGAATTACCTGGATCATAAACATATGTCGCTTGTGATTGGGTTTCTCTGGCGGAAAGGTTGATTTTTTTTTAGAGATGAAATCATCGGATCGGGTCTTCGATTTGATTTCCCCAGAAAAGAAAATAACATTTGTGCTGTCGTTTGCCATACCAAGACAAAGTTTAGCTCTTAATCGGTAATTTCCACAACAGGAGAACGAACTATCGATCTCTTATTAATTTTCTTCTTTTTAGTTCAACAGAATAAAATAAAAATAAAAAGGTAAAGGTAGAAGATGACACTTCTTCGTAACCTTTTTTTCTCTTCTCTTTTTTTTTTTATTTAAAAAATATACTCATAAAAATATATGAAAACAAGGATATTTTCCCTTTTTTTCTCTCTCTTTTCCAATATGTAAAACAAATCGTTTTTTCTTAATACAAAAAAAAAGAAAATTAAAAAAAAAACAGACCTCAAAGAATTAAGATCATAACCTGGCTTTGATACCATATTAAAAATATTTTTATAAAATAAATTATTCACTTTTCTATATATCACTACAATACATTACATTGCCTCTTTATATACACACTAAGAAAGAATAATTACACAAATCTTCTAACGGCTAAATATTAACGGCTAGTTATTAATAATCACAACTTACCAAATCATCACATATTCCATATCAATCATATCTTCAACACTTAATTTGTGTTCTAGCTGATATTAATTAAAGTGTAGCTAAACAAATATGTTTTGAAAAAAATGAAAAAAAACAACAAGTAATCATTTTCGATTAATTACCAAGAAAAAGACCACTTATCAATTTCACAACTTATTCAATTGACCCTTTAGAAAATAAATACAGTATGATTAATAAATAAAAGCACACACGATTAGTAGTGCTGGTTGAGAGAATTTATCTTCAACACTTTTTAATTTAAAATTTCTGGACATAGGTAATATATATCTTTTTGTTTTAATATAGATAACAAGGACGGGGTAGATCAGTGTCCACCCTTTAGTCCACGTAATGGCATGTCAAATAGTAACCCGAACTGAATAGAAGTGACGAGTTTAACATACCGAACACGAGGGGTTCCATGCATATATCTTGTCCCTTGATTTGAAAACTCTTCATAGAAATCCAAAAGAATAACTATCGACTATCCATGTGCCTGCATATTTTGACGTTTCTGTCTTCAATGAGAACCAATAGGCAGATTCAGGGTCGGATCTGAGATTTTGGAGGTTTGAAATAAAAACAAAAATGGGGGCCTAATTGGTTTTACTAAAAAATTTTTTTTTTTAAAAAAAAATTTAATAAGTTAAATTAAACAAAAAAATTCGGAGACTTGTCTCTTTGATGTAAATCCAAAAGACGTCACGGCGATGATGTATAATCCATCGCTGAGTTTCACTATAAGTTCTAAAAAAAATTATAATAATAAATTTTGAGAGGAGAGAGAAAAGAGAAAGTTTCCACAAAAAAAACATTTAAAAATGGAGAGAGAAGAGAGGAAAAAAAGAGAGAGAATGTCCCAGAAAAACATTAACCAATGAAATTGTACCACGTTTTTATGAATCTCTCTTAAATGAGGTAAGAGCATGTACATCAAAGAGATTCAAAAAAGGGTTGTTAATATTATTTTATTAATTTTTTCTAATTTGTCGGGATAAATTTGGTTCTGACCGGAGGAGAGAAACATTTTTGTTTTTTTAATAGCAAGCCGCTATCAGTCTGCCAGCTCGACTAGAGAGAGAAGTCATTCTGTTTTTTTTGCAGCAAGCCAATACCAGTTTGCCACCTGGACTACAATATTCCCAAGGATCGATCCATAAATTCCTTCTGCAAGGATCGATCCATAAAAATTGGGCTATTTTTCTTTTTTTTTAAATCCAACTAATTGCTAACAAACCCTTTATGAAACTCTTCAAAAACTTCAATGGACATGGTCTTATATAAGAGTTTTAGAGATCATATTTGTAGAACTTTTTGCATTTTCATTTATTTTAATTAATAAAAGTACCTAAAAACTCCATCTGAACCCAGCGATGGAAATGGTCTAAGTTGTTTCTTTAAACTATCTCATGGGATACTCACGCTCCTCTTAGTTGTCTATCATTCACATGTCATAGTTGTTTTTAACCCGAGTTTGTAGTTAGTAATTTGTACCAATATTGCCACAGCTATGTCATAATTGTTGAGAATTGATCTGTCAATTCACTTCTTGTTCATTCGATTTACTAATCAAGAGACACCACCAAATGTTGACTCGGTTCACCGAAGCTACATCCGGGGGAGTCTTTCGTGCTGCCTCACGTCCATTATGTTGATCGGAAAAACCCTGACCATGGTTCACAAGAGAATCGCCCACCGCCGATTACAACTCAATCGACATTATAAGGAAGAAGAACAAAAGAGAAGGAGGAGAAGAAGAACCCTAGAACCCAAGAAGATCTCTCTTTCTCTATCTAGCTATCTCTCTCTCGCTCACTCTCACTGAATTGCTCATGAAGAAGCTCTCGGAGAAGACGACTCCGTCTCGTCATCAAAAAACATAACGACTTCTCTGATTTTAGTCAAAGATAGTCTCACACGTGTGAACCCACGTGCACCCAAATAAAACCATGTATTAAAATCCTCTGTTTGCTGCAGAAGCTTCTAGATACACGTCATTTGGTTTCTTCTTCACTCTTAAATAAGACCATCATTAACGCTGGTCTCTTCCTCTGTCTCTTATTAATATTTATGATTAAATATATTGAAAAGAAGAAACGTTGGTTGAAAAACGTTTCTTATTTAAGGACAACAAGAAACGTCTTTTGTTGCCACCTAGGATTTCTATCCAAATTTCATATTAAAAAAAATTATAAGAGACACACATACGTTTCTCCGTTGATGATGCTCTAAGTATCTTCTTCAAGTGCTTTCAAGTTGGATCAAATCCAACAATAATACCAGTGGTTACAGGAAAGAATTCCCAAGCATGCGTTTTTAATGTGGGTAATTATAAGTCTAAGGGATAGGCTCCCTACTAGAGACAAGTTGATTATAGTTGGGGTCTTGGAGTTCCTTCGGATTGTCTCCGGAATCACGCTCTCGTCTTCTCTTTGGCTGTGTATTTTCCAATGAAATTTGGTCTACTTTATTCACGCATCTGAGCCTTACGGCCCCAAAGACACTACAAGGAACTGAGAATTAATTGGGATCAAAGGCACTCTCATAATGCCAAACTCAAAGTAATAGGCAGGATTGGGATCAAAGGCACTCTCATATACTCTATGTGAAAAGAAGGAAATACAGTACAAGACTTACTTCATTGGTGCTCAAAACCTCTACTATTACAAGCCAAACTAGCGGGTTTTGATCGGCAACTGATACAAACGTCTCAAGGATCTATATCTACTCCGGAATCATACTTATCAACTTGGTTTAGTTAGATTCTTTCAAATCTAAATGTTTGGTTATTTGGTTGCTCATTCTGTTCAGTTAATTCTTGACGTGAGTTTCAATTTTTTTTCACGTTGTAATTAAATGCTTTTCATCTCAGATACAATGTAATTTTAAACGAAGCCCAGTTTTTTGTAGGATGAAATACATGGAATGTTCACGAAAAAATAATTTAGACAAAATTTATACGTATATATATATATGTATAAATGCATTTAGAAAACCATATAGATTTTATAAATATAAATAATTTACGAAAAATGTGAAACAATTTTTTCTTTGTTGCTAAACGGTTTAAATATGAAACAGTGCCATGCAGACATATAACTACTTACTTTCTATTATCTTGATTTATGCTGACTCCTAAGTCCTCTAGGAGATCTTGGATATGCTAGGCACATTCTCATCTTACCAAAAAATTCATATTGAGAAAAAAAAAAATTACAGCTAATTTAATAACATTCTCAACTCGTACCATTTTTTTTCTTATGAAAAATATATCTATAATGCAGCAAATACAGCTTTACAAATTAGAGTCATATGGAACGGGATTGAAGAGTACGGAGTGGATATAATCAACGGTCTTGGCCTTTTCGGGAAAGCCGTGGCCATCACCGTGCTGGTAGATACACTGTACCACGCGGTTAAGATTTGCGGCGGCTGCCACGAAATCACGGGGAAGAGAAGAAGTATGTGCCGTTTTGAAATCGGAGTTAATGACGTCCCACGAATCGCTGATCATACTTTGCATTTGTCCACGTGCCTCTTCCTCACTGGCTCTTGTCTGGTACATGTAACATTGGACTGACTTTGGTGAATCCCCTCTTGCCATCGCTTCCTGTTAAAATTTAGTGCTTTTATTCAGTGATATGTCTATGTAACTAGTTCAGTATTTTGTGTTGTTTATTTGTTTTGCCAAATATTTAGTGTTCAAAACTTATAAGTTATAAATTGTTTTTTTTTTGCGCTTAAAAAAAAGATATATTAGACGTCAATATTGTCTTGGGTGTTACTTCGAATATTTTTTTTAAAAAAGTGGAAACTTTCAGATTAATTGATTACATATAAGCATTAGTATTTATTCGAAAAAAGCGTAATTTCGAATTAAAAAACATAATAAGTGATGGATGGTCGACATGCGTCTAATTAATCATTTGAAAACCATTGTTCTTGGTTCCGTCTAACATTGATTTCGGGTCTAGAAGAATAATTATTTGCTGTAATCAGTGTATATACAACAAAAAAATAGATATTAGAAACTATATAACAACTACTAAGTACTAACGTATACCGTTGAGGTGGCGAGATCATTGGCGAGACGGAGGATGGTGGCCGAGCTCCGGACGACAGAGTGGTGGTTCTTGGAAACATCGGTTAGGTTTTGGTCGGAAATGTGGTCGGAGAATATGGAGAAAAGGTGGAGCAATATCGTTGGGACAGAACTCGAGATCAAACCATTTTGCATATATTCTTCGAAACTTGGTTTGTGTCCGGTCTTGTACCACTTCGCTTCAGTTAAAAACGTTTTAAATAGATCCGTCCACTAGGAAATCAACAAAACAAATACAAAAAAAAAAAACAAACAAATCTAAATAACATCAACATTTTTTAATTAAATGATTTATAAATGAAATTTATAGAAAACTTACAACTTGTTTAAGGTAAGGAATGACATTAAGTCCTTTGTCTCTGAGAACATCGTAACCCATTTGGTTGATCTCATTGTATAAAAACAGAAAACACATTTTCATGTAATCTGGAAGTCTTTCGACATGGTTCACATCCCATCTGAAAAAGGAACCAAATAATTATATTTATAGTTAAAATTTTATAGTTAATATAAATTTATAGTTAATATCATGGTTAATATCATGTGAGACAATCAGACATAAACAAAATAAAAGGTTTTTTAATTCCAAAAAATAAATAACTAATTATATATATGCATATTAATACTTAAAAGGTTTTTTTATTTATATATTTGAAGGTTTCTTATTGATTTCTTAAATAATGAGATATACCTGTATATTATTATTTTTTCTTTGCTAAAAAAACACGTGTCTATTTTTATCCAATATACTTACTTTTCGACCACATTTGTAAAGATCTCGAGCTCCTCTATGTGCCATAGATATCGTAAATATCGTCCATGATTGCAATTAATATGGCTATTTTGGTGAGTATCTTGCGGTAGTATTTAAACTCTGGTTCGTAAAATATTCCAATGCTCCAAAAATAACTCTCTGTGATTCGGTCTCTCACGAAGTCAAGTTGTTTCATAAGTCCTGTGCTGTTCCAAAAGAAGTTGATTAATTAATTAACTCATAGAGAATTTTTGTTTTTTTTTCATTTTGAGAGATACAAAAGATGTATATAGAATACCTAGAAATTAATTTAAGCTCTTCTTGATGATAAGCTTGTACCATGTTGAAATCAAGTGTTGCCAACTCTAGCAAGAGAGGATCCATGTCATGCTTTTTGGGGTACACATCTATGTACCATCTTGCTTCAAATCTCCTTAAGCTTAAATGGTACGGCTTTTCTAGTACTCGTTTCACCATCTCTAACATATAAGTTTCATCTTTTCCACAAATAGCTTTGTTATTTTCCTCGACAAACTCGTTCAATCGCTCATTTGCATAAGCTCTAGCCTCCTTGAGTTTAAACTCCGAATCCATTGAAAGATAAGAAGCTTCGTATAGAGAGAGTAAACCCTTAATATTACTTTAACAAAAAAAAAAAAAACCTTAATATTGTTGCGTAAATCTTCTTCGAATACTCCGGTTTTACTTTTAAAAGCGTCAAAAGCAACTGCAAAACGAAATACGAATACTTGTTATCTTTTGGGAACAGTCTAAACTAGTCAACCCTTTTTAAGTACCGTGGTATTGACTTGATTAGTCACATGATCGTTAATTAAACTATAAGTTGTTACAGTATAATAATGAGGTAATATGTAATAACCATGCGAAACATCAAAACCATGTTGCCTTAGGAGAAAAAATTCAAGAGCTGTCGCATGAAGATCTTTTGGTTCCCTTTCAGTTTCGCCGCGGTTGTCGTGAATCTTCTTCAAAATATTATGTATTTCGTGTTTATAATGATACGAGATTCCAAGTCTTTGCAAAACATCGATCATTTCTAGCTTCTCAATCGAACCTTGATCAGTCAGTGTCTTCCTCACCTCTTCCTTCAACAATTTAGCTTTCTCCACGGCTTCAACTTCTTTCTATTTATTGAGAGAGTGTTATTAATAATGTTAGGAATCTCATTTCTAAAGTAAAACTGAATCTACAATAATACAGACATGAAATAAGTCAACCTATTCATTACTAATTAATTAGTAGATTGAATTAGAAAATTCACGATTGACAAATAGTATAGTATGATTAATGAAACATGCACTTATAGTATTATATGTACGTACGGCATATATATTATGGAGATATTGATGATCCCATAGCGACGGACGATAGTTGGCAGAGCGGCGGCGAACGGTAACAGTCTGAGCCGACATCACTTTGGAGACGACGTTGGAAGGAAAACGCTTAGTGTTTCCATGACGAGCATTGAAAACAATAACTGAACTACAGGAGATATTGTGAGTAGCCATTTGTAAATTTACGCAATAAAGATTCAGGAAAACACGTTGGTTTGAATAATTATTACGTTCAATAAAAAAACTAAACGTTAATGACTTTTTTTTGTTTTCTTTCTTTTCTTTTCTATCAAGCATTACACTTGATGCATGTACATTTATATAGACGGAATGGTCGAGAAAATGATGTACCATTAAATCAATAAATCGTATTAAATATGAATGTCCTAGTATCAAACAAGTGACTATCTTCGATTTGTTTTTGTTTTTGTTTATTTTTAAAAAGGTTTATATCCCCTCGGTTTATTTTCTTTAATACTGTAAGACCAAAAATTCGCACAAAATAAAAGTAGCAATTTATTCACGAATATTGAAATAAACGTTATGAGAAGGAGGAGTTTAAAACCGATGTAAGAAACAAAAACATAAACGAAACAATGGAGGCGAGATAACTTTCTTTCCGTAACTCAAAGAATTGCTCGTAGTGCAATGGAATAATCTATTTAAGAGCCGAAAGCTACATTCGATAACAGATCTATTGAACTAAAAACTATGATACTCTCGAAGACTTATTTTTTGCAGGATGGAATTGAAGGAACTTTTGCTTTAAGATTTCGGGTGTGTTTTTGTGGGTGAGCGGTTGCTTTTCTTTCAAGAGAGACGATTTTATTTATAGTGGAGAAGAGAGTTAGGGTTCGGCCTTGTTGATCAAGTTTCAACGACTTGAACAATATGCACAAAAATATTTTCGAAATATTTTAGAAGGACGGCGATCTAAAATCGACCCAAAAGGAATTGCTCCACAACTCAGCGGCCAGCTACCTATAAGAGCCCTACGAGCCAATAAAAAGCAACGAGCCACAGCCAAAACGGTGCGCATGTGGTTTTTTTCTCTTCTCCATCTCAATTTGAACAATAATATAACTTAATCTTTATTTATATGATCATTCCAAAATTTTCCAAACTACCAATGTGGAAAAAATAACATGTTTCCTCATTTAAGTTAGTCATTTCACAGGCTTTTCCATTTATCCCCAAAGCTTCATCAATTCATACATACACATTTGTATAAAGCCCACAAGCTTTATAAAAATTGTTTCAACAAATACAACTACACTGCAAGTAAGTTAGGTTACAAAACAATTTTATAATTTAAAAGAAAGTATAACTAATGGTAATAGGCTAATAGCTCAAAGCATCAGACAGCCCGAGTCTGAAATTTTATTGACCAACTAAAATTAACATCGGGGATAGTAGATTTTAAGAAGATTCAGATTCAATGGACCAAACTTCGCGATTGGACAGACACCCAAAAAAGCAAAATATAGACACGTACAACTGATGATAACATTGACCTAATTTTGTTTGTTTTCATTTAATTCTCCTAGGAAAAAAATACAAAATATAAAGCGTACACAACTGTTTCGTATGTTTTCAACTAGAAAAGTCTACGTGAATTTTTCATAGTTGTTACTGGTTTTGCGTTCATAGACATATGTGCTATTTAAGGAAAACATTTTAAACATGAGACTGAGAATTTTTTTTTTTTGTTTTTTAATTACCCAGGAATCAATGTTTTTGTCTCTAAAGACGTTTGCGATAGTCAAAAATAATTGAACTCGTGGTGAGAGGGTTGGAACATTGCCAGAGAAGGGCCTTCAGAATGAACTCTTCAAGACTGGACCACCATCACTTGATTTATGAGACTTGGATGGATTGCTAATATGAGATAAGTTGTTATATTTTTGAAAGCTTGTTTCTTCGTGTAGGGTCGTGTGCGTAAACAAAAATCAGTATAGGTTGGTGAATAAGGCTTGTCAGATTTCTGTTTGGACTTGAAACCAGTTGGATACCCATACGTACTTCTTGTAGATCTAATCTATTATATGACCAAATCAACCACAAATTGATCAACTAACATGCCTCTCTTTCTTCTGGTAATCATAAGATCCTTTAACTGATTGGTTGCTTAAAGAAGATTGCATGTTTTGAACATGTTTGAACTTATCATTGAGACACTTGAAAGACTGAAGAATCAACATTAATGTGAACCGGCATCCGAGTAGACTTTGGGTTATCTTCTTGATCAAACATATTGTAAACCTCAAAGAACATTGGCTAAGTATTTTTTTGTTCATTATAATATGCGACTCCTAATGTTCTCATAATTGTCACTGACACCCATAAAAAAAAAATTCAATAACGCAGTATATTTCCCTCTCAGCCAACAAATCTTCAACAATGCGAGTTGTAACCTGAATGTTGGATACTAGTTCTTTCCACAATGACTGAGTTTGAATATGATATGAAGACAAATCCATGCAACCTTGTGGAGAAGAAAAAAATCTGATTCCGAAATTAATAAAATCTATGTAGATTCGAGTTAGGAAGTAGAGGCATATAAAGAGAAATAAAAACTTTATTTTAACCGAACAGCTGAAGTGTGAGGCTTTTTAAATACGAAACTTTCTATCATCATTCCTCTTGCTCTAACAAGTACGGGCTTGGTCCAAACTTCAAGCCCAGAAAAATGGGCCTTTATTTATTAATAACGTAGCCCAATTTAGTTTTATACAATGCTCCGCTGGATTAAAAACCCTAGCTCTGTACTATATCAGTGACAAACCCTTCATTGTGCCGGAGTTGTGCGGCTCTGCGAAACTTCGAAAATGGGTAAATCCTTCTTCTCATCCTTCGTCTTTTTCCGTTCTCCTCGTTCCTTAGATCGATTTATGTTCTGATGCTCAAATGACGTCTTTGTATCCGTTCTTGCCGATTACGTTTCCACTAACTTTGCTTATTGATTCGATGGATTTTGGTGAACCCTAGGTGCGTACAAGTATGTATCGGAGCTATGGAGGAAGAAGCAGTCTGATGTCATGAGGTTCCTGCAGAGGGTGAGGTGCTGGGAGTACAGACAACAACCTTCGATTGTCCGTCTCGTCAGGCCTACTCGTCCCGATAAGGCTCGTCGTTTGGGTTACAAGGCCAAGCAGGTAACTTTTCATAGTCCCCTTATTTGATTAACCTTGATCTTAGTTTTTTTTCCCCGATATTAGTACTAATGTCAAATGGTTTTGTAGTGGTTGGGTTTTATCGTTAAAAAATCAGATCTTGGAGTGTAGATACTGAGATTTTGTGACATGCTTATGATTTGGCCTAAGTTGCTTGATTTTGGGTTTTGTTTGTAGAGAGAAATAGAAGCATTGCTGGTTATGTGGTTTCTTGAAACACACATTTTTTCTTTAGAGAATTGTGTGTGTTAATGATTGAATCCCTCCCATGGCCAGCAATATTAAAATAGCCAGTCTGATATACTAATTCACTCGCTGGATTTACACTTATCTGAAAATCTAGCTCTTGTTCGGACTGGTACATGAATAATTCTGTCTTGCTCTAGCTTCAAACTCTGTAACTAACCTAGCTGGGGTGTTAATGTATGTCAGGGCTTTGTGGTGTACCGAGTCCGTGTGAGACGTGGTGGACGCAAGAGGCCAGTGCCAAAGGGTATTGTGTATGGAAAGCCCACAAACCAGGGAGTTACCCAACTCAAGTTTCAGAGGAGCAAGCGGTCTGTTGCTGAGGAGCGTGCTGGAAGGAAATTGGGCGGCCTCAGAGTCGTCAACTCCTACTGGCTCAACGAGGTATCACTCCTTTGACCATTCCTTACTAGAAGTATTATGTGTTTAAGATTCTAACGTATGAAGTCTTGAATCAGGATTCGACCTACAAGTACTACGAGATCATCTTGGTTGACCCAGCACACAATGCTGTGCGTAATGACCCGAGAATCAACTGGATCTGCAACCCAGTGCACAAACACCGTGAGCTCAGAGGACTTACCTCAGAGGGAAAGAAGAACAGAGGACTGCGCGGAAAGGGACACAACAACCACAAGAACCGCCCGTCTCGCAGAGCAACATGGAAGAAAAACAACTCTCTCTCCCTTCGTCGTTACCGTTGATTGCCTTTTTCTATTATTATTATTATCATCTTCTAGGTTCCATGCTGTTTCGCTGCTTTTATCTTTCGCATATTGACTTTTGTGTTTGCAAAATTTTGGAGACAACAATTGCGTTTGAGTTATGGTTTGAACCCAGACTTTATATTTGCTTGTGTTTTTTTTGTTAATCCCTTGTCCAATGTTGAACTACATTTCGAAATTTTCTTTCAACGAAGTCCACAATACGAAAGTTCACATTATCGGTAACATAATTCTATAGCTAATTTTGATTTCAGCTAACATTTTTCAACAGAGATGAATTTTCAGAATAGGAGGCTCCATTATCCTCTCAAACGTCAGACAAAGCTTTGCTGTTATGTATCAAGAATTAACATCAAAGATCAACATAATCCCTGACTAATTGTGATTGTCGCCAATTTCTCAACAGAGATGAATTTCCAATTTCGTCAGTCCGTTAACTGAGAGGATTCTATCAAACGTCGGAAAAAGCTTTTGCTATCATTGCGAACATGAATCTTTTACACAATGTCTAATGGTAAAAGCAGTCGTGTTATAGCATATTCAGTTAAAATCTGGAGACACAACACTTGTTCTCATGCGTCTATTTTAATCATCAGGGAATCCGAGGAACCTGTCGATAATGCGGGCAACAGGTGCTCCGTCCCCTGGAGTATATCGAACCAGAGACTCCAGATCCATTTTCATTAAGGCTTGGTGAAGCGTGTGAGGACGAGTGTAGTACAAATGCTTCCTCTCTTCTAGTGCTTCAGCTAATTCACACTGATGATTGTCCATAAGATCTTCGTTCACTACTACAATCAATGGCTTCCCCAGCTTTAGTGTCTCGAATATGCTTCCAGATCCTGTATCATTGAGAGTTGATTAACATTTCAGTATTTCGAAATGGCTCTCTGGTTGTGACTCTATATTCCATGAAAGGAGGTTGTAAAAGAGAAAAACTCACCAGCGTGACTAATCACAAGAGATGCAGATCGAATATAATCTGCGATACTAGAGGAAAACCTGAAGTAATCCACGACTAGTGATCCATCCGCTCCATCACACTGGATCAGTAGTAAGAAAATAAAAAACACACATGAGTAGCTTCATAGAGACATGATGAATTCAACGAGAGAAGAGTACAACAAGCAATGAAATTTTGAAAAAGCTACATCATCAAGAGAGCACCAGAAGATCAAAGTTACATCGATGAAACAAAATTGTAACTCTTTTTGCTATTATTGTTAAACTAAGCCGATCAGATTGTGAGAAAAGAGATTCACCTAAACAGAACATAACCAATCTCTGATGTTGCACTGCTTTCTACGGATTTAAATCGACTGTTACTCGTGATTATGCCTTCCACACAATTCTCATAATACCACAACCCAATCAAAAGCAAACAAAAGTGAAGAGAAGCGAGTGAAGAAGATAAAAAAACCTTGCTTGGAGAATAGATTCCTCGACCCATCTGAATGAGAAGATGAGTGTATCCTCTCTTCTGCAACTCGTCTTTAACATCTTGACTGACCACTGCTTCAACAAGAGCATCGAAACTCGTTGTTCCCACCGTCACAAACACTACCTTCTTCGCATCTCCACCATCATTCTCTCTGTCTTCCATTTACACCACTCGATTTTGTCTCTACGGAGAGATGCAGATCTTTGTTCAGCTTGTGATTAAAGTGAATTGTGGAAAACAACATCTGAGTTACTTATTCCTAATTTTATAAACCAGCAAACATATAAAAAACTTGTTTGACAGTAGAAACATTACTTTAAAATTCATTCAGACATTATATCGAACATGTAATCTACAGTATTATTTACGAAACCAAAAACTATCATATCTAATGAAATTTCTATTTCCATTAGAGTATGTAGCAGCTTAAGAATAAACCGTTTTTCGAATTTCAATCACGAATCGTACAATTAATTGAACTCTGAAGACTAATCTTCACAAATCACAAAGGAGGAAACTTACATTGACTGAGAGACCACCGAACACTAAAATGATGACATAGAAGTCGCCGGCGGTGATGGAGACGACACCGGCGGTGATGAAGAAGACACCAGCGATAGATCGATGCGATGGAGACGAGGATTCCTTGACAACGATAAAAAATTATAAAAATGTCTGTAGTTTGTAGAAAATTCCCATTAAATTAGCTACTGGGCTATAAAGGCCCAATATTTTGGCAAGTGCATAATGAGCGAACCCAAGACGAAACGCTGTCGTTTTGATTGTCGTCTAAAACAACGGTATATGTTTGCCCTGAAAACCCAGAGCAAAGAGGTTTCTCTGCAACTGGAAAAACGCCATGAAACCTCGATTTTCTCAGAATGTCTATTTATTGGGTCGCTATTCATTTGTCCGCCGCTTCCACCATACTCATCGCAGAACCTTCAGCTCTTTCCTCAATAATATTCGTTCGAATCACTTCGGAGCTCGAGCTTCCTCTATCGGCGGCGGAGGCGGAGGAGGTGGAACCGGAAATTCTAAAGGTAGATATATAAGCTACCGAAGCTCCCTTACAATTTTGCGCTCGCGAGTTCAGTCTGCAATTGAGAATCGTTTATTTTGCTTCTCACACTACAGTTGTAAAGATTCTGGGTTTCTCAGAAAGCTGTAGAATATAAAGCTGTGAGAAATTTCTTCAGTAGAAACCGCTTGTGAAGTTCGTATCGTGTTTTCGAGCTTGAATCATTGTTGTTGCCCTCGTTGGGGTTTATCATTTGACATATTACATAACTTTAAAATGGTAATGTAGGCAATGCTTTTCTCTTGCCCGGAGCAACAATGGCTACTATCCTTATGCTTGGAGCTCTTCATGCTCGTCGGCTCTATGAAGACAAGAAGGTAATGTCACTCGCATTGTAGAGATAGGCTAGGTTCTTTCAAATCAAATAGATTTAGTAGGTCTTCTTGGTTTTTAAATGGTTGATGAACAGATCGAAGAGAAACGGGAAAGGGGAATCGAACTTGAGTTCCACCAAGATGTTAAAGTAAAACCCTTTTTGTTGCTCTTTCTCTCTTCAGATTCAATACCTATTAAGTGTCTAAATCTTGACATGTTCTTACATGGACCTCCTCCTTATTGTAGGCCTCGTTCCTAGGAATTCTGCCTCTGCGATCAATCTCAAGAGCATGGGGTTCTTTGACGAGCCTGGTGAGTTTTTCTTTGTTGAAGCACTTATGGTTATTTTTATTGACCTTGATTTTCACTTGCTAGGTCTTTCTCCTCTCAGGAAATTCCGGTTTGGATGCGGCCTTATGTTTATAAAGCCTGGGCTCGAGCTTTCCATTCAAGTATGATCTCTTTGTTCTTGTATACATCTGCTGTTGGTTTTAGTTCTGGAATTATGCAGAGGAAGTGATTCCCAAACTGTTCTATCTGTATGTTCAGATCTTGAAGAAGCAGCTCTGCCTCTTGAGGAATATGCTTCACTACGGGATTTCTTTGTTCGCAGCTTGAAAGAAGGTTGCAGGTCTATCGACCCCGACCCTTGTTGTCTGGTAACCGGTAACAAGAACGTTGTTACTTTCTTTTATGTAGACTTTCTTTCTTAGGTTTGCTCTCTAAGATTTCAAGGAAATCAGGTTAGTCCTGTGGATGGCACCGTGCTAAGGTTTGGGGAGTTAAAAGGAAATAGAGGAATGATCGAGCAAGTCAAAGGACATTCTTACTCAGTACCGGCTCTTCTTGGAACCAACTCTCTGCTTCCTATGGTACCTGAAGGTAAGGATGAGTCTGAAGAAGAAGCTGTTGGAGATAAAGGCGACAAGTCTTGGTTGAGAGTCTCTTTGGCATCTCCAAAACTACGGGAGAGCAATTCAGCTAGGTCAGTGAAAAATCAACCTTAAACATCTCAGAAGTGACATTAGTGTCGAGAAAACCACAACTTATAACATGATATTTGGTTGCAGTCCAATGAAGGGGCTCTATTATTGTGTGATATACCTAAGACCAGGGGACTATCATCGGATACACTCTCCGGCTGACTGGAAGGCATTGGTTCGTCGACACTTTGCAGGTTTGGTTACTCTCTAATCTATCTTATTAGTATACAGGACAGCCTTTGTGTGGTTGGGCTTTTGCAACAATTTTTGGAGCCTGCGATTGGACTTTTGTGTACTGGTATATCTCTAACTAACAACAATAAAATTTTCAGGCCGGTTGTTTCCTGTGAACGAGCGTGCTACAAGAACGATAAGGAATCTCTATGTCGAAAATGAAAGGGTAAATGTTTTGCTTCTTAGTAGATTTACCAAATCTGTCTCGCAATTTAAAAAAAAAAGAATCTTCAGACATTGATCATCAGCTGTTAAGAACAGGTTGTGCTTGAAGGGTTATGGAAAGAAGGTTTTATGGCACTTGCTGCTGTTGGTGCGACCAACATTGGATCCATTGAGGTAGGTGTGATGAAAAATTGAAAAATCCTAAACTCCCTAAGCCCCAGACATTAAAGAAGTTTCTGATATTTGCTGTCATAGCTTTTCATTGAACCTGAACTAAGAACAAACAAGCCAAAGAAGAAGCTATTTCCTACAGAGCCACCAGAGGAGCGTGTCTATGGTCCAGAAGGTCATGGCTTAAAGCTCGAGAAAGGGAAGGAGGTTAGTAGGTCTAAAAGAGATAATGGAAAATTCCAATCTAAGGAATGTAACAAGTTCTTTTATTCATATCATCGCTAAATGGTTGATGTATATGGTCGATGCAGGTAGGAGTGTTCAACATGGGATCAACCGTGGTGCTTGTTTTCCAAGCACCAACCGCAAAATCACCAGAGGGTTCAAGTAGTTCCTCAGATTTTAGATTCTGTGTCAAACAAGGAGAAAGAGTCCGTGTTGGAGAAGCATTGGGAAGGTGGAGAGAGCAATGAGTACATGGCATTACATGCCCCACTGTTATTGTTTTTTTTTAAGTCAAGCTTTACATATTATGCACAAACACGATCTGACCAAATCATAACAAAGTTACTAGAAGTTTTTAGGCTACTCGTGAACAGAATTTGTAATTGCCCTTATACTACCTTTTGAATACCATATCTACTGTTTTGAAACTGTGAATAGAATCCAAAGTTAAGCAACAATTTTGATATACCACAGAGAAACAGAAAGCCAAATAAAAAAAAGCAGGAAGAGGATGCAGCGAACTAAGCTCGATATCATATAAATTCCAGTGAGTGAGTGATAATCTTTCCACCAAATAGAAGAGTTTGTGTTACATTATAGACCTGGAATAACCTAAGCAGGAAACAACCAATAACATTAAAGAAAAAGTACTCACATACAGTATATGGTTTATGAATCTGATATCGAAGGCTCATCTCTTACAGCCAATGTAAAAACAAGAATCCCCAATAATTTTACAGTCGTCCATATCAATACGTCATCATCATCCTTCTCATTTTCTTAGTTGAATTCAACCGCAGCCTCTAGCTTCCTATATCAAAACTTTGTTCCTGAAAAGTAAAGAAAAGTATCAGATTATTACTACCAATCGGTGAGGATTATAATACTCCAGAGTTACTTGACTAGCCAAAGAATCACCTTCATTAGCCTAAACAAGCTTTAACGAAGAGGAGCAACTAATTTTTTTGATCATCTATCAACCATGGATTCCCCACCTGAACTCGATCCAAACACAAAGTACACTGAAGCTTTCAGTCTCTACAAAGCATTGAAAAGGCTAACATTTTCAAAAATATATATTTACGAGCATTAACTTCTCTTCTTAAACCACAATTCCCTCTAATCCAAGTTTGAGACTGAATCACATCCCCCAAATAGTAAAGAACAATGCTAATTCATTTCACTGACTTAATAAACTTCGCTAAATGATGGTTATTGATCTCCCCACACACGAAATATAACATTTTGACGGAAATTAACAACTGATTCCAATTTGTCACTGAACGTGAAGCTACCCAAAGCTGTGAGTGTTTTGCAGATCGGATCAACGAAACAAAGAGATTGAAAGAAAAAGCACACCTACGTCTGTTTAGAGTACGAAGACGAGAAGGGGACACGTTTGTTGCGGAACATCATGTAACCAACGGGTAATACGACGCCGATCATCATCACCGCCGCTCCGATCAAGTACCGCAACAGACTCGGAGGCTCCACTTCTATCACCGTCTTGAACTGCAGATTCCGCAGGACGCGGGAATACAAAGTTCAGCAAAAACTGGAACAAAACGACGGCGGAGAAACGAAATGGAGAAAAGAAAGCGGAAAATCGGATATTTGAGATCCAGAATTACATATTGAGCGAGGAATTTACCGGCATTATAACGTCGGAGAACTGGATTTCGCCTCTCGCCGGTGATGAATCAAACTTCGTGGTAGAAGAGAAGAAGAGAGATCTAGACTTCTCTCCGGTGAGATTCGTCAGGTGAGTCTTTCTTTTTTTTTTTTTTTCCTTATTTCTCACTACTTTTAATGGGTCTTTACATTACGGCCCATTTATCTTTTACTACAATTTCATAAACGAGGCTATAGTGTTTTACTGTTTAGGGAAGTTTTGAATCTAACACATTTGTCAAAGGAAACAACATGATTTGGTTTTTTAGCTAATTCCTATCAAGAACTAAATGAATTACTAAGAAAAAGCATCAAACAACACAGATGCAATAGTAAACAAAGCAACTAATAAACAAGATGTTACACTTCAACCGGTTACACCCTCTCATCTCTTCACGCTTTCATAAATTGAAAGTCTTATTCTTCGGTAAAATATTTTCAAATATCTAATAGCAGAGAAGTTTGAAAATTAGAACTACCATATGAGCATAAAATTCTGTAGATTCCATGATTAATATCAATTAGTAATTTTTTCTTTCACTCGAATACTGTATATAATTACGTCTTTTACAAGTTTACGTCTTGTTCTTTTCGATAACCAAGAAAATTTGGAATTTAGACACACAATCTTTTTGGGATAGAGACAGGACTCGGTTAGGTTCACTGTCTTCTTCTTTTTTGTGTGTACGTGTGTGCTATCCGGTTGTTTCCAAACTTTTTCCATATTTGAACAGCTTTGTTTTGGAGATTTTTGACTTTTCACTCTTGAAGTGCAACATTTGTGTGATAGAGTGAAGACACTTCTCGGAAAAGAAGAGAAGAATAAGATGTTAATTTGTTTCCACGCGTCAGATAACACAAGTTGGGTTTGTAATCGATATCTCCAAAGTGTGGACCAAAACACATTCACTTTTGTCTTAAACTTTTAAGTGGATTAGAGTTAAACAACAAACGTAGAGAGACACAGAGTGCGATATGGGAGGAGGAGACGATGGTGGTGACTCAGTAATTCACTTTGTGTTTGTTCATGGAGCCAGCCACGGAGCTTGGTGTTGGTATAAACTCATCACTCTTCTAGACGCCGCCGGATTCAAATCCACCACCGTAGACCTTACCGGCGCTGGAATCAACCTCACCGACTCTAACTCCGTCTTTGACCCTGACCACTATAACCGTCCTCTCTTCTCTCTCTTGTCCGATCTCCCTGCTCACCACAAAGTCGTCCTCGTCGGACATAGCATGGGAGGAGGAACTGTCACCGAAGCTCTCTGTAAGTTCCCTGGAAGAATCTCCATGGCCGTTTACGTCGCCGCCGATATGATTCAACCCGGATCTTCCTCTTCTCCACATTCTTCTAGCGTGAGCCACGACTCTTTTAACTAATTAACACATCTCTCTGTTTTTTTTCTTCTTATAACAACAAGAAATAACATGGTTTTACAGAAGCGTTTTGGAGAAGAAGAAATATGGGAGTACACATACGGAGAAGGCGCCGATGAATCTCCCACCGGAGTCTCCATGAAAAAGCAGTTTATACGCCAGTATTACTATAGCCAAAGCCCTCTTGAGGTTGATTACTATCTTATGAATTATTGTTTTAAGATTATGATCATGTGGTAACTAAATAATAATACTAATATTTGGTTATAATATATGGTGGTATAGGATGTAACTTTGGCATCTAAGCTGCTTCGACCTGCTCCTGTGAGGGCCTTTCGAGGTCTTGATAAGCTGGCTCCAAATTCTGCGGCAGAGAAAGTTCCTCGAGTTTATATCAAGACTGGTAAGGATAATCTATTCGATTCGCAGCGTCAAGACCGTTTGGTGGAGAATTGGCCACCTTCTCTGTTTTATATCCTTGAGGAGAGTGACCATTCTCCTTTCTTCTCTGTCCCAACCACCTTATTCACTTATCTACTTCGTGCGGTTTCTTTTCTTCAACTATAACTCAAAATACTTCATTTTCAGTTTGACCCCATGTCTCTCATCCTTCGTACACTATATATCGACCTTATTGTTGATTTTATGGTCGGAATAAGTACATTTTGTTAATGTTTTTCATTTGAGTTTAAATAAGCTTTACCCGTGAAGCAATCAAGGAGAAGTTTTTAGTAGGCTTTTGTTATTGGTTTGTTCCATGGGTAAGAGAAAGAGAAAGGAGAATCCTGTATTCCTTGGTTTCTTTGTCAATAAACTGTCTTCTTCTTCTATATTTTTGGGTAAGGTTTACATAGTTTGGAATCAAATTAGAACATAATCAACACAAAGGGAAGAAAAAATAAACCACCCCACATAGGTAGCGTTAGAGTGAGATTTCAAGTGTCAACAACTTCTTCTCAGCCTCCACCCAAATCAGTAAACCATATATTGTATAGGATGCAAATGATTATATATTTAGAAGAACAAACAATTGGTAGAATTAAACATTTCTCTAATTTTTTTACTATTTAGATTGAATTATGTATTCTAAAGTTTCACTATTTGGGCTGAAAAATGTGGAAAAAATATTGAACTCATTCCACTAAAAACATTGAAAAAAGGAACAAATTTTGGAGAAAAACATTATTCTACTATACTCTTTTGAGGAGAATTTGAAGAATTTAATTATTTCTTTATTTATCTTTTTCTGCTAGTATTTTTTCTTTATTTCTTCACTTATATTTATTTAATTATCTACTAATTACTATCATTTGGAAATCCAAGCTGTTTGTTTGATTTAGAAATCCAAGCAAAATCACTCATTAATTAAGTTTTAAAACTTAAAATCGAATATTTCTCAATAATTTATTTTACTGAAAACGAAGTTTTTTTATTTTGAATTTAAAACAAAGTTTTTATATTAAAAATGAGATACACGTTTTAGATAACTTTTAATTGAAATGAAACTTTTTCACGTTTCTTTTTTTTGTCGTAACTTTTTTCACGTTTTAAAAGCAATAAATATTAAGACACGTATTTTTTCTTGTTTATCACGTATACTTGACTTTTCTCATCATAAATAAGGAAAAAAAAGCCAAGCAACAAAAGGAAATTCCCGAACCCAAATTGAGACTCTGTGGCCGGACGAGAACTATATGTAGGACACTAAAACAGATATCGGAGGCAGAATTACAGACTTCTTAGCCAAAATCTGAGAATTAGGGTTTGTCTCTTCGTCAATTGAAATCATAATCTCCGGCGTTTCCGTTACAATCCGTAGAATCTCTGCTGTAATCGAAGAATGGAGAGCAATGATTTAAAGAAGACGAAGACCCTTGAATTCGCGGGAGAGATGCATTCGACAGTTCAGGTACGAGCATCTGTTGCGAATCTGGATTTGTATAAGCATAGTGAAGATAATCGAGATAGGTTTATAGCGGATGAGAAAATACCTCGCGGAACTGTTTCTGTAAGCTTTAAATTGAATAGCTCAAAAAAGAGTATTAGAAAGAGAAGCAGGGAATCGGAAGAAGAAGATGATGATGATAAGGTTTTGGGGAACTATGAGATTGCTAGGTTAAGGGAAGTCTCTAGACGAGAGTATCTGAAGAACAGGGAGAAGAAGAAGATTGAGGAGTTAAGGGATGAGATAGAATTTGAGCTTTCACGGTTTGATGGTGTGAAACTCACTGAGAAAGAAGAAATTGAGTTTAGATACAAGAGAGAATTGTATGAGCTGTTGAAGAAAACAGAGGATGATGTTGGTCGTTATAGAATTCCAGTTGCTTATGATCAAGAAGGGGTTATTGATCAGAAGAAGAGATTTGCTGTGGCGACGCAGCGATATGGTGAGGGAAGCAGCACGAGAGGCATGACTGAGCAAGAAGCTTGGGAGAATCATCAGGCTCAGAAAGCGACTGTGAGGTTTGGTGCTAAGAACAAGAAGCAAGCTTCTGATGGGTATGAGTTTGTGTTTGACGACTTGGGAGGTTTTGTTGAGACATCTAATGAGGTGGAAACCGAGAAGCACCGAGATCGTGACTCGAGAACAGTTGCAGAAAAGGATAAGGAAGAGAGGAATATGCTTCCGATTCATGCATACCGGGATGAATTGCTGAAACTCATTGAAGAAAATCAGGTTCTTGTGATTGTTGGGGAGACAGGGTCTGGAAAGACAACGCAGATACCGCAGTATCTTCGAGAAGCCGGATACACAAAGCGTGGAAAGATCGGTTGCACTCAGCCTCGGAGAATTGCTGCAATGAGCGTTGCTTCCCGAGTGGCTCAAGAATTGGGTGTAAAACTCGGACACGAGGTTGGATATTCTATTAGATTCGAGGACTGTACTTCAGACAAAACAGTTTTGAAGTACATGACTGATGGGATGCTGCTGCGAGAGCTACTCATAGAACCAAAACTCGATAGCTATAGTGTCATCATGGTTGATGAGGCGCACGAAAGAACGCTCTCCACTGATATTCTGTTTGGGTTAGTGAAGGATTTAGCAAACGTTAGGCCTGATCTGAGGCTAATAATCTCCAGTGCGACGCTTGAAGCTAAGAAGTTCTCTGAATATTTTGATTCAGCTCGGATTTATATGATTCCGGGAAGAAGATATCCAGTTGAAAAGTTCTTCAATAAATTGCCTGAAGCCGACCTCTTAGACACGGCGATACGCACAGTGTTTCAGATCCATGAGACTGAGCCACTTGGAGACATTTTGGTTTTCCTCACTGGTCAAGAAGAGATTGAAAAAGCAGAAACGAAGTTGAAGCTAAGGATGATAGATTTGCGTACAAAGAGCTCTGAGATCATCATCTGTCCTATCTACTCAAATCTCCCGACCGAACTACAGGCCAAAGTGTTTGAACCGGCCCCTAAAGGATCGCGGAAAGTTGTCCTGGCAACGAATATTGCAGAAACATCGATAACAATTGATGGAATTAGGTACGTAGTTGATCCGGGGTACTGCAAGCTCAACTCCTACAACCCAAGAACCGGAATGGAGTCACTGCTTGTAACTCCTATTTCCAAGGCTTCCGCAGAGCAACGAGCTGGTCGGTCTGGGAGAACGGGGCCGGGTAAATGTTTCCGGTTGTACAACGTCAAGGACTTGGAGGCCACCACAGTACCGGAAGTCCAAAGGGCGAACCTTGCAAGTGTTGTACTTACTTTGAAAAGTCTTGGGATTGAAGATGTGTTCAATTTTGATTTCATGGATCCTCCACCTGCAAACGCTCTATTGAAGGCTCTAGAGTTGCTCTATGCTCTGGGCGCTTTGGATGGAAAGGGTGAGATTACTAAGTTAGGGGAAAGAATGTTGGAGTTTCCGGTTGATCCGATGCTATCAAAGATGATTGTTGGTTCGGAAAGGTACAAGTGCTCGGGAGAGATGATCACAATAGCCGCCATGTTGTCTACAGGGAACTCCATCTTTTATCGACCTAGGCAAGTACGTGAAGAATATCTTGCCGACATTGCTCGGATGAATTTCTACACAGAGAATGTCGGAGATCACATCGCGTTGCTAAGGGTTTACAATTCATGGAAGGAAACAAACTACTCGAGTCAATGGTGCTACGAGAACTACATTCAGAGCAAGAGTATGAGAAGAGCTAGAGATATACGTGATCAGCTGGCTGGACTTTTAGAGAAGATTGGAGTAGAACTTACTTCTAACCCGAATGATTTAGACGCGATCAAGAAGGCGATCCTGGCGGGATTCTTCCCGCATTCTGCAAAGTTACAGAAGGATGGATCGTACAGAAGAGTGAAAGAACCTCAGACGGTGTACGTACATCCTAGCTCAGGCTTATTTACGGCGTCACCTTGTAAGTGGTTGGTGTATCATGAACTGGTATTGACTACCAAGGAATACATGAGGCATATAACCGAGATGAAACCCGAGTGGCTAATTGAAATAGCTCCTCATTACTACGAGCTTAAAGACATCGAAGAAGCTCGGCCAAAGAAAACTCAGAGAAGCGGAAGATCCCCGATGTCGAAGGTTGGTGATACTAACAAGAAAGTAAAGAGGTACTAACATCCAAACTTAGTCATTTCTCTCTGTTTTTGAAAAAAAGTTGAAAACATTTGTGATACTATTACTATTTCATATTCTCTCCTGAAAGTTTCTTATATGTTTAGTCACCATCAGTTTCTGGTATGAATACTAACTACTGGATTGTTTCCATTTTATAAACCCATGATTCTGAGTTTTGTCGAGTATTAAGTGGAGACTATGGACGACTGATAAGAAAGGAAGAAATCAAGAATTCAACAGCGACAATGAAACTCACCAGGATTATCATTGGGGAAGAAGCCATGGAGAAACACCTGGACATTCCTCCGGTGAGATTCATCACCCTTATTATAATCTTCTTCATTATTTCCAGTGAAAAAATGCTTACAACTTACTGAGATAAAAACAACAGAAGATGAAAAAAAAAAAAAAAAAAAACACTATGCATACTTACAGATAATTGTGCTTGAAATAAACACTAATACAGTTAACGCAAGACAGGACTTATGTGGTAGTATCGCCAATGTTTGTAGTTTCAAGAGAAGTGTTGATAACCTCAACAGCAGTTACTCGATGGAGAAGATTCCGGATGCTATCCACCCATGTCTGCTTATCGGCCTTGCTCTTGCACATGAACTTTGTTAGACCTTTCCCTGTACTGATTCCGAAATATAGCTCTTCTTCTGCGTTTTCCGTTTCATTTCCATTTTGCAGGCTCGAGACTGTCTCGCATACATCATTTACAATGCCTGTAGTGATTCAACCATTGGATTATATAAACGCACTGGACAAAGTCCCAAGATTTACTTGAGCGTATACAGAGTAAACACCATGACCATTGAAAGAAAGAAGATTTATCTGAAGGTGATATTAGTCAGTTAGCTACCTTTGCTTTTCATGGAGAACGCTCCTCTAACATGTTTGCTTTTGATTTCTATTACGACCTGCAAAGAGAAAACGATCAGAAAAGTCAGCTAAGTCAACTCTAGAATCAGACGAGCATGAAAACTTTGTTTGCTTCGATGAGTATTCGATTTTTTAACCTGAGATTTCTTGTTGATGTACACTTTTATATGCTTCCACCGCAGAACTCCTGGAAAGTCCAAAAGTCAATTCATTAAATCCCGTAGTAAGTGAAAGTTCTTTGTTCCTTACATACACACAAACGTCGAATATCCACTTTCTTGATATATCATCATTTGAAGAAGAAGCTCAAGATAATCTCTTTCTGAAGATTTATTTTTACCATTTCGTGTGCACTGCATTAGCTCTCCATTACAAGCCAAATCTGATTCCTCGACGCTCTGTGCAGATATTATATGTTCATCAGTGGAGGTTGTGCTGGCGCAATCCAGCTCAGAAGAGCAATCATGAGTTTCTGGTAAAGCTCTTTCGCAAGGGCTAATAGCTGCATTGTTCTTAGCTTCCTTTGGTAGTCTTGCCCTTAATGCTGCTTCTCCTCTCACTGCTACATGAACCGAAACAAAAACGAGAAACATATATTAATGATCAAACTCAATCTGCATTGGCGAATTGAACTCGATTATCATCAATTTTACCAGTTGCAGCAGCAGCCGTTAGAGTCAACAAATCGCCCGGACCACGAACATCGACGGCGGATCGGACAGCAGAGACGACGCGATCGTGGCCGGCGCCGGAGATTTCCGCCAATTCGAGGCAGTGAGAAGCTAAGAGCTCCGATGCCGATGCCAGCGCTGAGCTCATTTTTGATTCACTGAAGCCGTCTTTGTTGCTCGAAGCGGTCACGGCGGCGATGGCCGTCGCAAGAGACGCAATGGAGACGGCGGTATGAAGATGAGCGTTCTCCACGCGAGCTTTGTCTTTTTTCCTTACGCCGGAGACCCTACCGCCGACAAATTCTCGGTGGCGGAACCATTTTCCGATCGTTCCCGCTCTCCGCGCGTGAACCACACTCGCTAGCTTTCCCGTCTGTCGAGGACATTTAAAATGTTGTGGGCTTTTTACAAATTGGGGAGCTATATATTATTTTGGGCCTACTAATATTTGGCCTATACAATAAAACACCTAGCAGACTTTTAATTCTTTTTTTTTTAACAGAATGTTTTTTTTAGATATTAGTTACGGAATAGTTTCTTATCCAAAAGCAATATCGTTCTTACACATTACTTGAGACATAATGAAAGGAATTTCACACAAGAAAAGATACACGTAGATTTTGCAGATAATGTTTTTTCCTGTTACAATGCTCGTATTTTTTTTTATGACATGCTCCTCCACTCAAAAACGATACTCTTGTTTCTATCCAATTACTCTTTTCTGTCTAAATTTTACAAACGTGCGTCTTAATATATCTTCAAATTTTACTACTTTTAAATCCAATTATTGACATACTTCAACTACACAAACCAAAATCATTATCTTTGTAACTAAAAAAAATTCGTCATCTTATTTTTTTTTTTTTGAGCAAACAAATCGTTATCTTTGTTTCTAGTATCAAAAATCAAAATAACATACAATTATAAAAAACATACACAAATGAAAGAGAAGATGAAAGCAAAGAGACGGCTTACGAGTAGCGGTGGTGGTGGTGGTAGTGGTGCCGGAGCCGGCGAAGTGATGACGGCCAATTGAGATAAATTAGGGTTTTTGTTGAGTTGTTTATTAGACTTCTGCGAGGATAAAGCTAAAGAGATTTCAGACGTGGAAATGCTCCATGATCTGCATAGAAACTCCATCGGCTCTCTTGGAGTTTTAGGCTGAGGAGGGATCGGAGGATACGTCGCCGGAGACGACGAAGAACACTCCGATGTCTCATTTTCCGGCGCAGATGACAAAATCACGCTCTCGTTATCATCATATTCTTCGATTTCTTCTTCCTCTGCTACTTCTTGTAATCCGTATGGAATCAAGTTTAGCATACGATCATGATCCATTTAGCTCAGATCTCTGTTTTGTGAAAATATTCTAACACTTGCGCACTGTATATGGAAGCTCTTTTTATATGTTTGTGTATTTGTTGATATATCGTATATATAAAATGATATATGCACACACACCATGGTTGATGTATATATAAAGACAGATGGCCACACTCTAGAGTCAAAGAGAACATCTTTGACAAGGCAAGGTTTAATGGAAGACGTGGATCTTGTGCTATTTTAATTTTCATTTTAATTTATAAATTTTTTGCACTTAAGTTTAGACTAATCGTAGAATTTGTGGAACGGCAGAAAGCATCTAGACAAACTATTATTGAAGTCATATTGGAGTGTGTAGTGGTTACAAGAGGATATGTGGATTTTCTATCTTAAAATAACGACTATTTAACAACCATAATTTATTTACATAGATTTCTATGTAGATTATATACACATCTACCTGTTAAAAAGTTTTTATTACGAATTTTGGTGATTGATGTGGATATATATCATAAATAGTTGTTTAAGATGTATATTATTTAGTTGGGTTCCCTATTTAGTTCAGCATACATTATAGGATTACTTATATTAGGTCAAATATTACATAAAATACAATCTATTATTTGTGTTAGTAATATATCGTTTTGTCACTAGTCACCACTAAAATTCAAAGTTGTACATATTGTTGACAAAAGAAATCATTATTGTTATAGAAAATAATTATATGATAAGTTGAAATTCAATCACATCGATCGATAGTACTTGCACATGGAAACATGTACATAGTACATATGATGAAAAGTAATTTTTAGCTAGAATAATCGAATAGCCAAATTTTCAAACTTACATAAGATTTCGAGTTGAAATCAACGTTTGACAATTGACAGTATCAGTTCGTTACGAACTAACAGGACAGTAATCGATTGAAGCCACTTATTCACCCATATCAAATTTTTTACGTAAACAAACAGGACAATAATTAACTAAAGGATTTTTTTGGACGTACCAATTATCATATTGTGGTCATGATTTTGTTTTTTTTTTTTTTTTTTTTTTTTTTTGTTAAACGCCATTATTTTGGTTGATGCTTAAAAATTATGTTTCTTAGGTATTTTTTGGAATGGTTGAGTTATTCCGTATTGTATTATTTTTTTACTTCTAATAGAACAATAGCTATGCAGTGAGTTTACTATGGTCAAATGGTTCATATAGATATATTATATATCCGTTTCCTCATACGTTACGTAACATTTTTATAATGTGGTCATGTTTTTTTGGTTAATACTTTGATAGTTGTATTTTTGTTTATCTTAGTTCAAGTTATTTTTGACAGTATCATATTATAGTAAAAAATTAAGCCTTTAATTAGTCCAATTCCAAAAAAGATAAGTCCTTGTCAGTACTTTGGGATTGGAAGATAACTTACATTTTCTTTTTATTTAACGAAAGCTAACCAAACTTCAATAATGTTATGAGATAGTGTTGTCTGGTCCCATCAGAGGTGATACAATTTCTCTTTTCTTAGTCAACTGAATTAAAAAATAATAATAGTATAGCATATACCAGTGTAAATAATTACAATATTTACGATATATATAGTTCGTGTGAAACATGAAAGCCGAATTTTTCTTACTAACGTTTGAGATACTCTACTGGTATTATATAATGAAAACTACGTAAATTCACTCCCAACGTTTTTAAGTGATCTATTAACCTATAAAATAACTTTACATATAAAATTTTTAATATTTTTTTGAAAAGATTTGAAGGATGAATCAGTAAATGAAACGCAAACTATAATGAAGCTCGCTTTTGTAAAGTTGTTGAAGAAAGTCATCGTCCCAAAGAGAAAAATAAAAATAACTAAAACGCTAAAATCAAAATCTTGCATGAAGGGGAATTAATCGTTTTTGCATGGTGCAACGTCATTTTCACTTTCACATTATTGCGGTGCATTAATATAAACGAAACCTTATTTGATTGAACTTGCAAGTCCCACCACGCTTACATAAGTACCCAATACCAGATTATACAATTCTTCTATTTTTAGGAATTAATACGATATATTTAATCTGCAGTTGACGAAGCTCTGACAAAATGATTTTTCTTAAGTTCATCTTTCAAACACACTGCAATTTCTCTTTTACAAAATAAACGGGGAATTTATAATCAATCTGGATTAATCTTAATCAAATGAAAACATATCTTAAATTTAGTAGATTCGGATCTTAAATCATTGAAAATGTAAAATGATAGTCTTTTTAAGCAAATAAAGATAACTTTAAAATGATATTTTGTGAAATTAAAAGAGTGTAATTTTTTTAAAAACATCTTGAGATTGAATGAATTATAAAAAACGTTGTATTTTTATTTTATATTGGTTCTTGAAATTCATAAACAAATTTTTTTGACCCAATTTGTTTTTGTTTATTCAAATTGTATTAATTTGTTTGGTTGAATAGGAAATGAAGTAATTGGGTGTACGTGAGCTGGAGTGTCAAGAGGAGCACAAGTTGAACGACATCCTCCACCTGATTTCAATGTGTTTATTATGTTATGTGTCTTTTCTTTCTTCTATTCCATCTCTCACGCGTTTTTAATCATCATCACCTTCATACCGACCCTTCATTTATGTTCTAATTATTTTTGTATCTATCTTCCTCCAACTATTTTTGTTTTTGTTATTTGTTTTGTCTCCACGATAACAAATGTTAAACATAATTATATATAATGGTGTTTGGATTAATACATCTAGTTGCTCCTTCTCTAGACTGACATATTAATAAAAGTTAGGATAACTCAAAAGCTGATAATATATACAAAGCTATACTCAATAAGTGTTAAGTTTACTTTAATATTTCATTTTCAACCAAATGAGTCTTTGGTAATAGCATTTATCTAAATCCGATTGCATTACCTATATCTCATCTTCTATTGCAGCCCTTATGGGTTTCGATCGACTTAATTCCTCAATTAACCATAAAAAAATTCATTTAAAAAAAATAAATAAATATTTGACCAAATACAAGAAAAACAATAAGAAATCTAATTTTCAAAAAATATAGAATCATTGACAAAATAGCATATGGAATATGTATAAGTTTGTCGATTTCAAAGTAGCCTTTCAGTCAGTATACTTTTTTGTTGGGAAATTTAACATTACATGCATACTTCTGATTAGTAGAACTGCATTTGACATCCTAACCTTTTTTCAAGGTAACAAAGATGAAAAAGAAAAACTCATAACTTTTGAACAATCTGTTGAATATACCTAGTTTGGTACATGTAATATTTTATTAAAGGATATCTATAGATATTTTATTAGCTAATGGTATGTTCTCTAGCTATTTGAAGGTAATATTTTATGAAACATACATATGTATTACTGAAACAGACTTGTTTTGCTTTATAGTGATAACTAAGAGGTGATCCAAGATTTTACCGACTAATCTCATAATAGTAGTTTACTTACCGGATTTTTTTATGAGTCTGAATAATATAGCACCATTTGAACTGGTCAAACGGGAGTGAAACAATTCCTACTAAATATTGAATCGAAAACAAAAATAACTTAGGTTAAGATTTAAAACAACCTTATTGACATACTTATTCCAAAAATAAACATTAATTATTAAGAGATATTAGAAAATATTAGGCTTATTGGGCCTTGTATAGTTAGTTATTAGAATTATTAGAATAATTTGTCCCACATTGCTAGTTTCTAACTTAAGGTTGACTAATGTACTTGTATATATATGTGTCTTTAAGCTGATGAATAAATCACTTCCGCAAATTACTTTGACATGGTATCAGAGCCTAAGACTACATAAAGTTTTGGTCTAGCTCTTGAATCAGAGCCTAAGGCTACATAAAGTTTTAGTCTAGCTCTTGATTCAAATTCTTGTTTATAAGTTGTGGTTTATTGGAAAAAGCAAACCGACGAGGTCTTGCTCTTTTGTTTTTGGTGAACTCGGACCGACGAGGTTCGGGATTTCTGTAGAGCCATAAGGGCTTGGGATTTCTTTGTTCGGTGGAGAAACCTGGGAATTTCTCTGTTTTTTTAGAAAATATGAGATTTCAGAGTCGATGAATTAATTGTTCTTATTGTTTGAAGTATGGTCATGATGTGAGATCATGTTATCAGGTATATGGATATCCAGATTGGTGGCTGGAGAAGTATGGAAAACCTACGGAACATGTGTCACACACTGAAAAACGTGCGTCACACACGGAGGCGTCACAGGTTGATCCTCAGGCTGTGACAGGGCTCAAGAAAGATCAATGGCATAAGCTTGTTCGATGGTTTGATTAGAGATAGCAAATCGTGTGAGTGATAACACCTATACAGATGAGTGGATTATTGATAGTGGTGCATCGCACCATATGATGGGTACGTTAAGTGGTATGTTTGATGTGCATAAAGTCTCACCGTGTTTAGTGGGTCTGCCTAATGGAAATGTTGTGGTTGCTGATAGAGAACGAAGTGTGGCATTGACGGAGAAGTTAACTTTGACACATGTGCTTATTGTCAAGGAACTCAAGTGCAATCTCATCTCTGTGTCACAGATTATTGATGCAATGAATTGCATTGTATTGTTCTCCAAGCAAATGTGTCAGATACATGATCTTGCTTTGCAAATTCTGATTGCAGTGGGTGAAAGAAAAGATGGATTGTATTTTCTACAAAATATTCAAAAGACCGTGAATGTGGCGAAGGTCAGTAAGTTGGGGTCTTTGGAACTTTGACATAAAAGGATGAGACATGTTTCTGAAAAGGTTATTAGGAGATTGCCAGAAGTGGATCAAAAGAGTGTTAGTGTTTCTGATTGCGATGTCTGTTTCCGAGCAAAGCAGTGTCGGAATGTATTTCCTGTGAGTACAGAGAAAAGCAAAGAATGCTTTGAGATGATTCATTGTGATTTGTGGGGGCCATAACGAACACAGAGCGTGTGTGGATCCTCTTATTTTTTAACTATCGTGGATGATTATTCTAGAGCTGTGTGGGTTTTTCTTCTTGCTGATAAAACACAAGTTCAGAAAACAATGGTAGATTTCTTTGCTCTCATTCAACGTCAGTTTGAGAAACATGTGAAAATCGTG